CTCCCCTGCTCACACGCACTCTCTCTCTGTCTCTCTCTCTCAGAAATAAATAAAACTTTAAAAAAATAAATAATAATTTAAAAAATCTATCATTGTGTTAGAGATTTAGGTAGGGCAATTTAAAATGGCATAGGAATTAGAAACAAAGATGTAGAACCATGTTTGCATGTGATACAAGTATACCTCTGGAAACACAATAGAAAATCCAGTATGAGAAATAATTTAGTACGCTAATATTGATATGCAAAAACAGTAGCGTTTTTGACATAGACTATTTAAAGATTTTATTTTTTTAATTTAATATCTTTTTTTTTTTTGGACAGAGATAGAGGCAGAGCAGAGAGAGAGACAGAAACACAGAATCCGAAGCAATTCAGTCTCTGAGCTGCCAGCACAGAGCCCGAAGCGGGGCTCTTATTCATGAACTGCGGGATCACGACCTGAACGAAGTTGGCGGCTTAACCGACTGAGCCACCCAGGCGGCCCTGAAGTATCTCTACACCAACATGGGGCTTAAACTCACGATTCTGAGATCAAGAGTTGCAAGCTCCACTGACTGAGCCACCCAGGCGCCCTTGTACATAGGATACTTTTATACAGTAGCCCATATACAACAAACAATCATTTACAAGTTATAGTAGCAGGGCCTGTGATTACAAAAGTGTAGCATAAAACGCAGGTGCATGGGTGACTCAGTCGGTTGAGCATCCAACTTCCGCTCAGGTCATGATCTCAGGGTTCCTGGGTTCGAGTCCTGAGGTGGGCTCTGTGTTGACAGGTCAGAGCCTGGAGTATGCTTCAGATGCTCTCGCTCTCGCTGTCTGTCTAGCTCTCCCTGCCCCTCCCCCCCTTGTGTGCACTCTCTCAAAAATAAAGAAATAAACATTTAATTAAAAAAAGGGTAACAGGGGCGCCTGAGTGGCTCAGTTAAGCGTCTGACTTCAACTCCGGTCATGATCTCGCGCTTTGTGGGATCCGGCCGCGTCCGGCTCTGTGCTGACAGCTCAGAGCCTGGAGCCTGCTTCACATTCTGTATCTCCCTCTCTCTCTGCTCCTCTCCTGCTCGCGGTCTGTCTCTGTCTCTCAAAAATAAACATTGAAAAATTTTTTAAAGTGTAACATAAAATGAAACAGGGCTGCCTCGGTGGCTTAGTCAGCTGAGCGTCTGACTCTTGATTTCAGCTCAAGTAGTGTTCCCAGGGTTGTGTGATCTGGCCTTGCTGAATATGGAGCCTGCTTGAAATTCTCTCGCACTGTCTGCTTCTCTCCCCTGTGTTTGTGCTCTCTCTAAATAAATAATAGCTTTAAATATGGAATTAACTAGGAAAGAATCTAACAAAAATGTGTAAAATCTATAGGGGGGAAACAAAACATTCCTGAAATATATGAAAGTAGAAATAAATGAATGTAAATTTACAACATGTTCTTGGGTAGAAAAACTCAATATTATAAAAAGGTCAATTCTTCTTCTAATTTATAAATTTAATTTGTTCCTGACATAGATACCATCAGTTATTTTTCTGAACTGAGTGTTATCGCAAAAATCTTCTAGAATAATGAACAAATAAGAATAGCCACAAAAATTCTAAATAAAAGAACACCAAAATGAGTATGGTTATTTTTATATTATGTTTATGAACAGACTACTAGATCAGTGAAGTTAAAAATTCAGAAGTATGCTGAAGTGCATAAGAAAAGTTAATAACCAGCAAAAACTATAGTAGGGATAACATTATTAATGCCTGGTATTTGGGAAATGGGTATTCCTATCAAGATGACAATAAATGGTCTTATTCTTCACATCGTACAATGGGGTAAAGGTCAAACAAAAGAGAAGTCTATATGGTAAAAACAAAATATTTAAAAATGGTTAAATTCCTTCCTAAGACCTGCTTCTCAAGCACCTTACTGTAGCCAAACTCTGGCTCATGTTTAAAGAAGTCACTCACCAACAGCTTTGGGTTGAAAAATGTCTTCATTGAGTTTTGATGCAAACTTGCTTTGTATGTTCAGAGTGGCCAGTGGTGTATCTATTGGCACCACTTTCTTCTTGAGTGTCTTCCAAGACATCACGATTGGCCCCAGGAACTCCAAGATGATAGAACTTAAAATAAAAGCTCTGTGTGCCTCTCTAACAAACAGCTGCTTGATCCTAAATGTGCTGGTAAATACCACTTTCTCTCTTGCTGTGACTGAAAACAAACAGTGGAAACATCAAATAGAAATATGACTGGGGTTTCTGAATAACAGGATCACACAATCACCGCTTGACCAACTTTTAACCTTCCCTCCTGTCTGACATTTGGGTTTCACGATCTGGGCCAGTATCTCCATATCTTCAAGCTCTTAAGATATAAGCAGTGGCTCCAGCACATTCACAGGAGTAACACTTCCAGAATTTCCCCCAAGGTGAGGTCTACCCAGGGCATCCTTGTCTTGGTAATGATAACCTTTGTATCATTTTATGTTCTCTCTTTCACCTTTTCATTTCATTTGGCTCTTTCTGAAAATCCCAGTTGGTGGGTGCTGAACACGTCTGCCCTAATCACTTCATGGTTTTTTAACAATCAGCCCTTTTGTTCGCTGGAGCCCTGACCTTACTGTGTCCAGGGTCATCTCTGCATGCTGCAGAAGGAATACACAACTCTCTAACATGACAAAATACCTGTGCACTATTGTAAACTGTTCTCTTAAGCAATGTGTAGTCATTTTTTCATTTACTCCTTGCAGAGATTCAAGCACTGGAGGGGGCAGTCACATAATAGGGTGTGAAAAGCAAATCCAGCCAGCACCACCTTCAGTATTTCCACAGGAAACAGAAGAGGAGCTATTAACTTGCATATTTCCTATTAGACATTATTAAGAGTGTGTATGATGCTACTGAAAATGTGAAAAACTAGTTTTACTATTTGCTTGTATTATTTACATGAAGAACAAACATCCTTATCACATGTCTCTGGAAATATTTCAAAACCAGTATTTCATCAGTACTAGGAGAAGTTAATATCCCTGAAAGAGTACACATTTTAGAAGTTTTGTTATCTGGCCTCGACACAAAGCATTCAGAAACACAAAATGAAAAAAGATCAGTTAAAATATGGAATTTTCGGGGCACCTGTGTGGTTCAGTTGGTTAAGCTTTGGACTCTCGGTTTTGGCTCAGGTTAGGATCTCATCCAGCCCTAGTAGGGACAGGGGAAGGGCTCTGCTCAGAGCCTGCTTGGGGGATTCTCTCTCTGTCTGCCCCTCCCCTGCTTGCTTATTCTCTCTTGCTCTCTCTCAATAGAAATAACTTTCTTTTTAAAAATCTAATTTTTCAAGTAAAAAATAGTTGCCCAAAAATAACTGAAAAAGATTCTTACAAATTTGAATTGCAATGGTATTTAGTAATTAATGGCTTAAGCAAAATATAGGTGCTATATGGTAGTCTCAAAGGTGTTTGGATTTATAATTCATCTCAAGAAGCATGGAGGTGTGGATTTGAATATCAAGTTTAAAGAGAGAGGTATTGGGGCACCTGTGTGGCTCAGTTGGTTGAGTCTCCGGTTTTGGCTTAGGTCATGATCTCACGGTTTGTGGGTTCGAGCCCCACGTCGGGCTCTGTGCTTGCAACTCAGAGCCTAGAGCCTGCTTCAGATTCTGTGTCCCCCTCTCTCTCTGACCCTCCCCTGGTCATGCTGTCTCTCTCTCTCTCAAATAAAACATTTAAAAATTAAAAAAAAATTCTTATAAATTTGAATTGCAATATATTTAGTAACTAATGGCTTAAGCAAAATACAAGTGCTATATGGTAGGTCTCAAAGGTGTTTGGATTTATAATTCATCTCGAGAAGCGTGGAGGCATGGATATGAATATCAAATTTAAAGAGAGAGGTATTGGGGCACCTGAGTGGCTCAGTTGGTTGAGCATCCGACTTCAGCTCAGGTCATGATCTCGAGGGGTCATGTTTGTGGGGTCCAGCCCCACGTTGGGCTCTGTGCTGACAGCTCAGAGCTCGGAGCCTGCTTTGCATTGTGTCTCCCCTTCTCCTTGCCCCTCTCATGCTTATGCTGTCTCTATTTCTCAATAATAAATAAATGTTTAAAAAAATAAGATAAGGAGACAGATACTAATGCACACCCATACAGGTAGAAATGTTTCTTCTTTTAAACCACCGAGCCGGCCCTCTGCCTCTACAGCACAAGGAACGCCAGGGAACGCAGTCCAGAGAATGGAGAGCAGAAATGACAGTGTAAAGCTCAGCTAATACCAAATGACACATTCCCCACAGAACAGGTTTTTTTTTTTAATGTTTTATTTATTTTGAGAGAGAGAGAGAGAAAGACAGCGTGAGCAGGGGAGAATCAGAGAGGGAGATCCAGAACACTTAACAGGCCCCAGGCTCTGTGCTAGCAGCCAGCCCACGGCCCGACGCCGGGCTCGAACCCACTAACCGTGAGATCATGACCTGAGCCGAAGTCGGACGCTTAACCTACTCGACCACCCAGGCGCCCCAAAACAGTTTTTTTTTTTTTTAACGTTTATTTTATTTTTGAGAGACAGAAAAAGAGAGAGTGCAGGCATGGGAGGGGCAGAGAGAGAGAGAAAGAGAGAGAGAGGGAGATACAGATCCGAAGCAGGCTCCAGACCCTAAGATGTCAGCACAGAGTCCGACGGTAGGCTAGAACCAAAAACTCGGGGATCCTGACCTGAGCTGAAGTCGAGGCTTAGCCTACCGAGCCACTCAAGCCCATCCTCCCAGAAGAGTTTTGCATGTCGCACTCTAGCGTCCATCACCGACACTGACCACCCGGATTTTGATGCATTAAATACGGAGTAGTCAAGTGGGTCTCATTCGCCCCACGAGGAACCCGGGCCTAGGTCCCCTCGCTGCTCCGCTTCCCCCGCTGGAGCGCGTCTCCACCTCCCGCTACAAATGTTTTCCCCGGCACCGGGCTCAACTTGGCAAACACCGCGGCTCCCAACAGAAGGGGCCCGCCCTTCCCTAACGTTGTTCCCAGTCTGGCTCCAAACCACACCGGCGGGACTGGGAGGAATCCATAGCAGAACCGGAAACCGCCGGGCAAGAACGACTAAGCGACCCGCACACCCCAGGAAAAGGACCGAGTGCGGGGCGGGATCCAGCACGCCTAGGCTCCGCCCCCACCTGCCACGTCCTCGACCGCCTCGGCCCCGCCCCACGACGCACGCGCATGGGCGCTTTGCCCGCAAACCCGGAAGCGGATCGCGCGGAGCAAGGCGCGCGCTCGGGTAAGTGAGTCTCCATTTTTCTGGTTCACAGCGCGGGTCGCGCTCCTCAGGCCCCGCCTCCACACGCAGGTTTCGAGGGTCGCCTGGGGAGGTAGAATCCTTGAACCCATTCGTCGCTCACGCTGGGTATTTGTCACTTACGCTTCTCGCGGTGTGGCCGTAAGACGTTTCGTGTCCTGTCGCTCGGTGCGGGTCCCGGGCCTCTGGGTCGTTTCCGGTTAAAATCTCTCTGAGGCAGTTTGGGGCCCAGCCTGTTTTCCTCTGGCCCTTGCGGACCCCAGACGGCTTGCCGGTGGTTTTCCTGCCCAGAACCTTCTCTGACTCCCGAGTCTCCCCTCTGCCCCCACACCCAACCGCGTCGGGAATAGTAAGCACTAGGGAGGTGAATGCAAACTCTTCGCTTTGCCGCAGGGAGGGCCGAGTGGGGACAGAGATGTCGGCAAAGGGCAGAAATCCCCGGAGTTAGAGGGTCGTCAGAAAGTTCGGAGAGAAAGAACGGCGGGTATTGAAACGGTGCAAAAGAGCGGGGTCCGACTGTTGGACGAATAGCGAGGGAGAGACTCAGAAATGGACAAAAGGACAGAAGAGAAACAAGGACACAGAACAAAACACGTAGTGCGCTGGACGAAGCACAGGACCCAGACCCGGCTGAGCCCTGAATTGATTGGATATGCGGTATTACGTTGTGAAGTACTGATTTGTGGCCCTATGACCTCGTTTATCAAAAATTTGGTGAATTGTTCCAGTTATGCAGAAGAGAACGAGAGTTGTGAAACCTGGTGTTTGAGGCATCTGCACTTTTTTTTTTTAATGTTTTATTTCTGAGAGAGACAGACAGACAGACAGACAGCGGGAGCAGGGGAGTGTCAGAGAGAGAGACGGAGACACAGAATCCGAAACAGGCTCTAGGCTCTGAGCTCTCCCCACAGAGCCTGACGCGGGGCTCGAACCCACGAACCGCAAGATCATGACCCGACCTGAAGCTGGACGCTTAACTACTGACTGAGCCACCCAGGCGCCCCAGGCATCTGGGCTTTCTAAGTGTTGCATCAGAAGATAATTCCATTTGCAACCCCCACTCATCTAGAGATCAGAGGCCGATCAGTCAGTTGATGGGGGAAGCCTTTCTGTAACCACATGGTGCTTTTTGCAGTGGCCATTGTTAACAGTACTGTTTATCTCCCCCTTTCTTCCGTGGTTCATGGCATTCTTTTCTAAATTGGATGTATCCTAACACTTAATTTGACTTTGATCTCAATCCATTGGATATCCTTTTAATTTTCAAATTAATTTCCTCTTAATTTTATTGTTCAGATTATGAGTTTCACATGCTGTTTACTCTATCACATGTTGGAAGTATTCTTTGATGTCTGTTAAAGAAGTTTATAATGTTTCATTACACACTGTTAACGATGTTGATAATCTTTTAACACTCAAATCTATTTTACCAAGTTAATTTAATATTCAGCAGTTCTCTTCTTCCCTTAAGTGATCTTTTAAGTCACCAAGTTCTGAGCTGAAGTCTCCAGCTAAGTAGATGTTCTCAAGTCCCCTTTGTCTTTCCTGAACAGATGTTGAAGGATGGGCTGGGTTGATATGGAACTTTGTTCCAACAGAGCCAGTCTGCTTATGGTGCAGAGATTGCTCAGAGCTCATCTCAACTGGTGACCTTTTTTCATGTTTTTGAAGACTAGTAACTATTTGTAAATTTCATATATTTCTGGAAAAAAGGAATTAAATGCTTGGGTTTGATTAAACCCTTGAAAGAGAAGCTTCTCTTTTTCAGAGAATACGAAAGGTAATCTGGAATTAGGATAAGCCCTTTCTACTTAAACTTGTCCAGGCCACCATTACAGAATTTTCTTACACCCAGTTCTTTCAAATCAGACTTCAGGGTAAATTGGTAAGTAACTCCCCCTCTGATCCTCAGTACACCCACCTTTAACAGAAGACGATAGACCAAGAATTCTGAACCTGAACTCATAAGATGATGGGAATGATTTTCAAAATTAGGTGTGTGTTTGTGTTTGGCAGTTTTCTGGGAGAGGGTGTGTAGTTATAATTAGAGTGTACAGTGTGACTCAGTTCCAAAAATAATGAAAATGCTAAGATAGAGGCAGGAGCATATTAGAGACAGAGACTTGCTTCTGTCAGCTGCACTCTCTCTGTGTATCCTAGCTAAATCTTAAAAATTTGATTGTGTTATTTCTTGACATTAAACCCTCTTAGAGCTTCCCATCACCAAAGATCTAAACTTCTCCATATGAATACCAGAGCGTTCTGGAGCTTGGGTAGCCCTTAAGAGTTGTTCCAAATTGATGGAGTAGACAGGCTTCTGTGTCCTGCATCAACCATTCATTGGATGCTGGCTGCCTAGGGAGGGGCCAAGAACATGAATGAGGCAATTCCCTTTGGCCCAGTGCCAGGTAGACAGGACAATGCAGTTTCAGTAGAATGTGGAGGTTTCAGCAGGAGGGGAGGGCTTTGTGAAGAAATAGGTGAAAAATACATTTGGTGGACTCCAGATAGGAATTTATTATCCCTGCATCCCTCCTGTTGCAGTGGGAAGCAGAGGACTGTTTTCCTCCCATAGTGAGGTTCTCCCCATCTGTATATTGTGGCAGAGGAAGCGGTTATGTTGATTCTCAACATTAAACAACATACTGTTTGTCACAGTATAATCTTACCTGAGAAAGAAGACCGGAAGAAGAGGGAAAAAAGGAGGAATGGCTCTTTTCCAGGTAAAAGTCATGTTTTTCGTTCATTGTTCTTCTTCCTAAACTGTCACACTTTGGACTTGTTACTCTTCTGTGTCTCAGAGATGTTCTGCCTACGGTATTTACTCACCCCCAGAGCCCTCTCCCAGTCTCCTCACATCTCCATGCAGGTTCCATCTCACTGTGACCCAGTGACATGGAACGTGGGAAGATGCTCCTTTTAGGTAGTCATGCTGTGAAGGATTTTCTTCCCAGGCGAGGACTGGAGGTGGGAAGTAGGCTCTGTGGTGTCCATGAGGTTGGGCAGTAAGGATTCCTCAGAGACCCCTCCTGGATGCCCTTTCAGCTCATATAAACCAGGATTAAAGAGATTACACACATAAGTCATATATTAATGTGCACAAATACCTGAGAAACCCTGGCAAATAAGACCGATGGGGGAAGTTTGCTTTGTTTTTACAAATGTCTTCTGATGTTAAACAAGTGAGTCAGTGTGCTTCTGACTCCAAAATATTACTACTTTGGAACAGAATGGGAAGTTCAAACTAGGAATAAGGAATATAGAGAGGGTGTTTTGTTTTATTAACATGATTAGATTTAAACTGTAGACTCAACAAACTTGTCTAACAGTAAATGTTTTTTATATTATTTATAGCACATCCATCTCATAAAGACCATGGTGTTCTTTTATGAATTCTTACGCTGCACATCTTTTAGATAAAAATGTTTATAATTTAGCCAGACACAGAAGGACTTTCTGTCATCAGAGAGGATGGTGCTCAGTTTCATTTTGTGAATTATTTGTAAATGTTATTTTTTTGGTTATAAACCCCTCTAGTGTATATATTTTTTGGTTTCAGTTACACACAGTGATGCAGTTTAGAAACTAAGATGTAAAATATCCCCTTCCCTGTCATATCTTCCACCATCACTGACTGTCTTCATCAGGAACCAGTGTTCTCTCTAGTGCCAATCTTGTAAAAATGCTTTTTATATATTGTAATGTGATTTTAGAAAATATTTTTCAGTAAATGTTTTCCTGATATTTTATTCTGTAAATTGAAATATTTACATACCATATGTCTTGAAATTGTTTTCTTGTTAGTAAACATAGAGGTAACTGCTTGTTTAGATCCTCATTGGAACATTATCTAAATGAAGATTCGTGGGTCCTTTACAATTTCTTACTGTTACAAAGAATGCCATGGTGGCTGCTTCTGAGCAGGCCAACTTCACTACAGACATCTAAATATATTTTAAGATTGTACATCTTAAGCACAATTACCAGTTTAGGATGGTCTTTCTGAGGAAACACAGACATTCCATTTACTAAATAAAGATTTTAAATCAAGTGTCTTGAATATCCTCAGCTAAAGGAAGACATAGAAGAGAACTAAGAAGTAGGAGAACATTGTTTCAACAAATAGAAAATTTCAGTAAAGAGATAGAAATTATAATAAAGGGATCGAATAGAAATTCTGGAGCTCGGGGCCTCTGGGTGGCTCAGTTGGTTAAGTGTCCGACTTCAGCTCAGGTCATGATCTTACGGTCCATGGGTTTGAGCCCTAAGATGAAAACATAGAGATAAATGTTCATGGCCTTAGGGTTAGTAGTGGATTTTTATATATGATACCAAAAATGAAAGAGAAAAAGACTAAGTAGATAAACTGGTCATCCTCACAATTAATCATGTCTGTGCACTGAAGGACATTATCACATAAGTGAAACAGTCTACAAAATAAGAGGAAATAATTTGCAAAACACGAATCTAGTAAAGGTCCAGAACGTAGCAATGTATGAAGAACTTCTACGACTCAACAACCAAAATACAAAGGGCCCAAATTGTACAATAGTCAAAGGATTTTAATATACATTTTTCCATAGAAGATACAACAATGAAACAAGCACATGAGATTTCAGTGAAAGTAGTCATTAGTAAGATGCAAAATCAAAACCACAATGAGATATCATTTCACACCCACTGGGATGACTATTGTAAAACTACAACAACAACAACAACAAATAAGTGTTGGTAAAGATGTGGAGAAATTAAAATCCACATTTTAAAATGTTAAAATGTTGCAGCTGCTGTGGAAAACAGTGGGACCAATTCTCAAAATATTAAACCATCTGACCCAATAATTCCAATCGTAGGTATATATCCAACAGATTTTATTTTTTTAAAAAATGTTTTTTATTTCTGAGAGAGAGAGACAGTATGAGCAGGGAAGGGTCAGAGAGAGAGGGAGACACAGAATCTGAAACAGGCTCCAGGCTCTGAGCTGGCAGTTAGCACAGAGCCTGATGTGGGGCTCGAACCCATGAACTGTGAGATCATGACCTGAGCTGAAGTCAGACGCTTAACTGACTGAGCCACCCAGGCACCCTTCCAACAGACTTTAAAACAGATTTCCAAACTTGCTTGTTCTTGAAAATTCATAGCAATTGACTAATATTAGCCAAAGATGGTACAATGAAAAGCTTATCGGTAGTTGAGTGAGTATAGTCTAGTCCTGCCATGGAATACTCTGCAGCCAGAAGAAAGGAAATGTACCCCTGATACATACTATATCATGGATGAACCCCAAACATGAATCTGTGTGAAAGAAGGCAGAAGCAAAAGGTCACATTTTTGGTACCATTCCACTTACATGAAAAGATCCAAAATCGGCAAATCCATAAAGACAAAGCATTGGTTGTTGGCCAGGGACTGGGAAATTAGAAAGCACCTGTTAACAGGTAAAGGATTTCCTTTGGGGATGATAAAAATGTTTTTGGTCTAGACAGAGGTGATACTTGTGCAACACTGTGAATGAACTAAATGACACTGATTGTACTTTAAAATGGCTAATTATATGATAAGGGTAGCTCTTCAGAATTACCTTGCACGGATCAAAGAGCACTCATTTCAGCCAAGTTGGTCTTTACACATTCTGCTTCTCTAATTTTGTGTCAGAATAAGAACATGTTCCCTGTCCATTTGGTGAAATGTGTTTTCATTTCAGGGATGGTTGACCTTCAGGGATGTGGCCATAGAATTCTCTCACGAAGAGTGGGAGTGCCTGGACCCCGCTCAGAGGGCCTTGTACAGGGATGTGATGCTGGACACCTACAGGAACCTGGTCTCCCTGGGTGAGGACAACTTCCCTACAGAAGTTGGTAGTTAATTTTAATGTGTCTTGCATTTTCTTTTGAGAGCCCCTGACTTGATCATAGGAGTTTCAAGTCCCTATTCTTTTTTTTTTTTTTAATGTTTATTTCTGAGAGAGAGCGCGTGAGCAGGGGAGGGTCAGAGAGAGAGGGAGACACAGAATCTGAAGCAGGCTCCAGGCTGTGAGCTAGCTGTCAGCACAGAGCCCGATGCGGGTCTCGAACCCACAAACCGTGAGATCATGAACTGAGCCGAAGTCGGACGCTTAACCGACTGAGCCACCCAGGCGCCCCTCAAATCCCTATTCTTAAGGGAGTGATTGCCGTTTTAATTGAGAATGGAAAGACTTCATAGTGTGGCAGATGGACGCTAACTTCCTTTTCTTCAGAAGTTCTGCATTCCTGCTTGTTTAGGTGGTTTCAGAACTTAGCAGTCAGAAAAGCTTAAGGGAGAAAACTGGTGATGAGGAGCACTGGGTGTGATATGTACATGATGAATCACTAAATTCTACTGAAACCAATATTACACTATATGTTAACTAACTGAAATTTAAAGAAAAATCTGGGAGTCGTGGGAATAGGTTTTAAAACTCTTAAATTCTTGGGTCACCTGGGTGGGTCAGTTAGTTAAGTGTCTGACTTCAGCTCAGGTCATGATCTCACTATTCCCAAGTTTGAGCCCTCCTTCGGGTTCTGTGCTGAGAGCCTGGAGCCTGTTTCAGATTCTGTGTCTCCATCTTTCTCTGCCCCACTCCTGCTCCTGCTTTGTCTCTCTCTCTCTCTCTTTCTCTTTTTATCTCTAATAACTAAAAAACATGAAAAAAAATTTAAACTCTGAAAATTGTTAGTAAAGTCAAACTTCACTAACATCTTTAAATATAAGGCTCAGAGACAGTGAAGTTAGGGGGGAAAAAAGGAAACTTTATGGTGAATTTTAAAAAATATCTGCTTCTGGGGTGTCTGGGTGACTTAGTCGGTTAAGCGTCCGACTTTGTCTCAGGTCATGATCTCACGGTTTGTGGGTTTGAGCTCTGCGTCGGGCTCTGTGCTGACAGCTACCTCAGAGCCTGGAGCCTGTTTCAGATTCTGTATCTTCCTCTCTGTCTCACCGTCCCCTGTTCATGCTCTCTCTCTCTCTCAGAAATAAATTTTTAAAAAAATCTGCTTCTTTGGTCTTACCCTTGTGCTTTTGGTTTAGTAGTTCTTGGAAGAGAACCAGATCTCTGCATTCCTACAGTACTCATTAAGCATTTAGGTAGTTAGTTGACTACATTTTGAAATATGTTTCTACACCCACATATAATGAATGTCCTTTCTTGTTTGCTGAACAAAGAGCTGTGAATGTATTCTCGAAGAGCAAAGCAGATCATATTCTGTTTTTCTTTATAAATGGAAATATTTACTTGAGCTGAATATCATCTCCATTTTGGAAGAAGGCAGAGAGCCCTCCACTGTGGAAAGTGACGTGAAGATAGGGGAACATCCAGACAGGTGGGAATTATTGGGATGTGAACACAAGTCAGAGCTCAGATGGGCAGAGAGTAAGCGGCTCCAGTAAATATTGTTTGGGAAGGATCTGTGGGAAAATACAAGTTTATTTCTTAGGAGCTTCCAAAGGAAATCCTTCCCTGTTCCACACACACTTCTCTTTCTGTTATTCAAATTTGTAAATCAAATGTGTACACATCTAAACTCCCACTGTTAAGACCTACAACTTTGTTACCTGGGCCCCTCCAACCGTACTTGTGTTGTGGTTTGAGAGGGACTGAGATGACTGTCCCTATGGAGTCTTTCCCTGATCTCTCTTTGTTCTCATTCCATACAGGTCAGAGGTGAGGCCTCTGTAAGTGAAGACCCCAGGACCTATTCACTTTCCATTTCCATTTTGTATTCCTTGGAGAACTTCTTAGGATACAAACAAAATGTAATATCTGTCTAATGAAGTAGAGCTAAAATCTCTTTCTTTTCTGGTCCATCCTGGCTTCTTAGGTTCAGGCCATTGTGCATCATTTTGAATACTTCAAAAAAGTGAAAATCCAAAACTAAATGTAGTTTAAATATAGCACAGCTTACTGATATCTCTAGTTAGCTCTTCTGTGGGAAAACATGTATCATTCCACAGATGTTTATTGCATTCCTGGAATATAGGCAAAGCATCATATTGATAATTTTTAGATCGTGGTTTTTTTGTTTTTGTTTTTGTTTGGTTGCTTAAGAACTCAAGAGGCAGCAATAAGTTTTGATTTTAAGTGATGTCTGCATCCAGTGTGGGGTTTGAACTAACAGCTACCAGGTCAAGGGTTGCATGCTCTACCGACTGGGCCAAGCAGGCATCCCTCTTTTTTTTTTTTTTTAACATTTTAATTACCTTCACCCATTTCTGCCACTGTCTTCAACTTCCTGCCTCTAACAACCACTTATATGTTCTCTGTATCTAAGAAGGTTGTTTTGATTTGTTTAGACTCCACATGTAAGGGAAATCATACTGTATTGGTCATTGACCAATTCCTCTTCGCATAATGTCCTCAGGGTCTATCCATGTTGTCGCAAATGGCAAGATTCTATTCTTTTTTATGGCTGGATAATGTTGTGTTGTCTATATGCATCTTTATCCATTTACCCATCATTGGACACTTAGTCTATTTCTGTATCTCAGCTATTGTAAATAGTGCTACAGCATTGAATATCAGAAGACTTCTATCTTTTCAAGTTAGTATTTTTGTTTTCTTCCAATAAATACTTAGAAGTAGAATTTGTGGATCACACAGTAGTTCTTTGCTACACCAATTTTGTCTCCCACCAACAGTACACAAATTGTCCACCCTGTCACCAACACTTGTTATTTCTTGTCTTTTTAATAACTGCTATTCTAATGGGTGTGAGGTGTATCTCATTGTGATTTTGACTTGCACTTCCCTGATGAGGAATGATGTTGAGCATCTTTTCTTGGTCCTGTGGACCATCTGGTAGATATTTGTAAAATGTCCAGATCTTCTGCCGATTTCTTAAATTGGATCATCTGAGCATTTTTTGGCTGTGTTTGGATTAGTAGGCCTTTATCAGATACATGATTTGCTTATATTTTCTCCCATTCAGTAGGTTATTTTTTCATTTTGTTTAGAAGTGTTACCTTTGCTGTGCAGACACTTTTAGTTTGATGTAGTCCCACTTATTTTTGCTTTTATTGATTTTTCTTTTGGTGTCGAGTGTCAGAAAAGAAAAAAAATCATTTCAGACCTGTGTCAAGGAGCTCATTATGCCCTAAGTTTTCTTCTAGATGTTTTATAGTTTCAGGTCTTAGGATTAAGCCTTTAATCTGTTAAGTTTTGTGTATATTGTCAGACAGTGGTCCAGTTTCATACTTTAGCCTGTGGCTGTCCAGTTTTCCCAAACCCATCTATTGAAGAAATTGTACTTTCCCTTTTGTATAGTCTTGTCTCCCATGTTGTGAATTAATTTGCCATGTCTTGAATTTATTTCTGGGCTCTATTTAGTTCTTTTGCTCTATGTGTCCATTTTTATGCTAATACCGTACTCTTTCAATTACCACAGCTTTGTAAACGGAGTTTGAAATCAGAGAATGTGATGCTTTGTTCTTTGTCAAGATGCTTTGGCCATTGGGGGTCTTTGTGGTTCCATAAAATTTTAGAATTTTTCTATTTTGTGTGTAGGTTTTCATGTGGACTTAAATTTTCAACTTATTTGTGTAAATGCCAAGGAGTTTGATTGCTAGATCATATTTAAGAGTATGTTTAATTCTCTAAGAAACTACAAACAGTCTTCCAAAGTAGTGTACTATTTGTATTCCCACCAGCAATGAATGAGAGTTCTTATTGCTCCATGTCCTCACTAGTATTCAGTGTTGGTGTTCTGGATTTTGGCCATTCTCATACATGTGTAGTTATATCTAATTGTTATAACACACATTTTCCTCAGTTAAATCTATGACATTCTTTAAGTTGAGAATTTGCAATATCTTGAGAACATACTTTTTTTTTAAGTTACTGCTTTAGTCACAAAAATATCATGAAATTGATTTGCAATAACTTTTTATGTAATAATACATTATTTGGGGGCACCTGGGTGGATCAAAGTCGGTTTAGCATCTGACTCTGGATTTTGGCTCAGGTCATGATCTCACAGTTCAAGAGTTTGAGCTCTGCATTGGGCTCTGTGCTAACAGTGTGGAGCCTGTTTGGATTCTCTCTCTCTCTCTCTGCCCCTCCCCCACTCTCTCTCTTACTCTAAATAAATAAACTTAAAAAAAAACTTCTTGTACGTGTCTCCTGGAACATGTATATATTATATAATTCTCTTGATTATACAGCTAGTAATGGAATTTATGGTATATTCACTTTGACAATTTTTAGAGCAAATCTGAAGTAGATGTCAGTCTATAGTCTTCGTATTAGAATATACTGTCTCCTATTTGAATATTTTCCACCTTTACCTCATACCAATACCATATGTTCTTACAGGATGAGTCAGTGTTATGCCCGTTGCTAAATTCGTTCCTTTTACCAGGGTCAGGTGTTTAACTTATAACACAATTATAGTCTCTTAAATGTGGAAGAACAAGCACTATCATCACATTGCCCATTACTCCTTGTGCTTCACTCTTGCTTTTGTAAATCCAAGTCCTGGTCTTTCCTCAGATTTTTCGTTGAGCTAAGCAAACTATACTGTTATCTCCAGGTATATTAATTTTGAGCACCAAAGCACCTAAGTTTCCACATGATATCCCCCTCTACACTGCAGAAAGACCCCTCTGCATACACAGTACAAATTGCTGAGGACTGCAGCTTGATCTGGTGTTTAATAATAATGTGTGTCTAATAATGTACGAGGATATGATGAAATAAATGAGATATTTTAAGAACTCTGTATATTACAATCTAAAAATAGATAGATCTAGCAGGTTAAGTAACCAGAGTTATACAAAATAATAGCCTCTGGAATTCTAAAGAATTCTTCTTTGAGAACTAAAGACAATTTACATTTCATAATTGTCAGTAGGAGAAATGAAAGATATGTTGAGATTCACTAAATTATGAAATATCAGATTCAGGTGAACACATTTTTTAAAGATTAAGAATGAAAGAAGATAGAAATCTTCATGATTGTATGCACAGTTATATAATAGCCAGTGTATAGATGGGCTCTCTAATCATGAACTTTTATTTCATTATCCAGTTACATGGCCAGAAAATATGGATAGTGTATAATGTTTGTTTGGAAGAATTACCTTAAGAATCATGAAATCATTAACATGGAAACATTTATTTTAAAAATTTAAAAACATTGCATATTACAATAATGCTTGAAGACTATGCTTGAGAAACTTCCTGTGTTCATTATAAAGTATTATTTTGGTGTGTAATTATGTAATTTAGTATAAAATATTTACCTTCCAATTCTATTTGATAGGAAGCCCCTCTGATGGATTTCCAATAAAGGAATTATCACCAATAGAGGACATTAATAAAGGAGAATCTTACCACTTATTGATATTGGAGAGAAATGAAAGTCATGGCATCAAAGACTTTGATCTCAAGGAAGTCTGGGAAAATATGCACAAGTTTGAGAGTCAATGGGAGTATGATGCAAGGAATTACAAAGAAGTGCCTTTGACCCATAACAAAAATCTCACTTGTAGAAGAGACCAACAACATAATCAGTCCTCAGTTACTCTTCCTGAAGATCAGTGTGTTTCTATAAGAAATAATACATACCAGTATTTCATGTATGATGAGCCATTTATAAGGAATTTGTTAAAATGGGACAGTAACCTGAGTGGTGCTGGAAACCAATACGTAAACTGCTTGGAAAATACAATTGGATTAAGTCTGGCTGAACTGCAGAGATTGCACAGTAAGGAGAAAATATATGAATGTAATCCAGTTGAGAAGTATGTCAGCAATGGTTCCTCAGTCTCACCACTTCAAAGAATTCCTCCCAGTACCAAAAACATTTGGAATAAATCTAGGAAGATTTTTAAATATCCTTTGTTACCTGCACAATACAAGAGAGCATACACCAGAGGAAAATCTTACAAATGTAATGATTGTGGGAAGACTTTTAGCAAAAGCACAAATCTCATGAGTCATGAGAGAATTCATTGTGGACAGAGACCTTACAAATGTAATGACTGTGACAAAGCCTTTACGTACCGTTCAAATCTCACTCGACATATGAAAATCCATACTGGAGAGAAACCTTATAAATGTAATGAGTGCGGCAAAGCATTTACCCAGTGTGCAAACCTTACTAGACATCAGATAATACACACTGGAGAGAAACCACACAAATGTAATGTGTGTGACAAGGCTTTTAACCAAAGTTCAAGCCTTATGGCACATCGGAGAATTCATACAGGGGAAAAACCTTATAAATGTAATAAGTGTGATAAAGCTTTTATCAAACGTTCAGACCTTTGGTGTCATGAGAGAACTCATACTGGAGAGAAACCTTACAAATGTAGTGAGTGTGGCAAAGCCTTTGCTGAGCATTCAAATCTTACTCAACACAGAAGAATCCATACAGGACAAAAACCTTATAAATGTAATAAATGTGATAAGGCTTTTATAAAACGTTCAGACCTTTGGGGTCATGAGAGATCTCATGCTGGAGAGAAACCTTACAAATGTAATGAGTGTGCTAAAGCTTTTTCCCATTTTGCAACCCTTAGTACACATAAGAAAATACACACTGGGGAGAAACCACACAAGTGTAATGTGTGTGACAAAGATTTTGTCCGAAGTTCAAGCCTTAGGAGACATCAGAGAATTCATATGGCAGAAAAGCCTTATAAATGTAATAAATGTGGTAAGGTTTTTATCAAACGTTCAGACCTTTGGAGTCATGAGAGAACTCATAGTGGAGAGAAACACATGTAATGACTGTGGCACAGCCTTTACAGAGCATTCACATCTTGCTCAGCATAAGAAAATCCATACTGGATAGAAACCTTATAAATGTAATGAGTTTGGCACAGCTTTTACCCAATTTGAAAAAGAATAGGTTTCAGAAAATACATAGTGAAAAGAAACAGTGTAAACCTAATATGTGTGGCAGTGCTTTTATTCAAAGCTTAAGCTTTGGGGATCATCAAAGAACTCATTGTAGAAAGAAACCTTGTCAATAAAGTAAGCAAGTGTTCAGGGCTTACTCAACATCAAGAGATTCCTTCATGGAGAGGAATCATATGAAACTAACATATGTGGCAAAGCTTGTAACCAGGGCTCACACCTCCCCTGATACCAAGATGTAAATGTCTGAAAGAAAGCACGCAAATGGAATGTATGGCAAGGCTTTTCCAAAGCTCATACCATGTGGACCATAATTCATTCTAGAGAGAAAAGTTACAAATGTAATGAGTATGATCTACTTTATAAAAATGTACAATTTTGGGGAGGGGGTAAAAATAAGTGAATGAGATTAAGAGGTACAGATTTCCAGTGATAAAAAAAAATGTACAACTTTGTGGTTGAAAGAATTCACATATAATGGAACCTATACAAATGTGTCAAGGTCTTTACGCCCAGAAACACCCAAGAATTCATACTGGACAGAAACGTTACAAATGTAATGAAGCTGATAATTTGTTTACCCAAGTCTTTCAGTGAACTACAATAAGAAAATTCATACTGGGAGGAACTAGATTTATTATAACCATTAACCAGTCTTAGATGTGAAGTTCCACAGAAAATTAGAATTCCTTAAAATTCATGAGATGAAGTGTTTTGTGGACCAAGTATATCTGTGGAAGGGCCTAAGTTTAAATCTTTTATAAAGATTTTATTTTCTTCTCTACACCCATTGGAGGGCTAAAACAACCCCGAGATAAAGAGTCACATGCTCTTCAGACTAAGCCAACCAGGCACCCCATAACTTTTTTTCTAAATTATTTGAGGTCCCTTGAGGCTACATTATTATTGATGACTTATAACCTCAAGTTTGGAATTCAGTGATGTTATACTTTTATTATATGTGTTTTGTCTGTCCACTATAGTGGTCTCAGAGAACCCTGGATTAGTCAGGTGAAAGGAACCTGTTTGATTAGGTGGGGTTTAATTATACGATATATCCTGGAAAAACTAGGATGCTCATTTTAAGATACAGTATAGTATAAATTTGAGAGCATGGGGAATGGTAGGGAGTAGATGTAAAACAATTATTTAAATTGCCATGTTTTCTGTGGTCACAACCTCTTCTCTAGATTTGTTGGTATGATTGAGAGGCTTTGTTGATTTTATTACAGGAAAGGATTCTCTTTCAGATAGATGATCATGAAATAGGTTCGTATACTGAGAGAATGAGAGTTTCATGTGATAATGATAGGTTACTAGGGATGGCCTATGTGGTAGAAAAAAATGGAGAATGATGGTCTTCCTCTTTTGAAAGGTAATAGCTGTTGTATATCATGGATGAGTAAAAATTAGTCTTATTTTTGGAAACTGAAGAGAAAATTCTAGAGGACATTTTAGTCAAAAGAAGCAAAGTAGGGGCACCTAGATGGCTCAGTATGTTGAGTGTCCAGCTGGATTTCGGCTCTGGGTTGTGGGATAAACCTCTGTGTTAGGCTCTCCATTGAATGTGCAGTCTGCTTAAGATGGCCTCTCTCTCTCTGCACCTCTCACCTATTCGTGTTCTCTCTAAAAACAAAAACAAAACCCCCGAAACCTTAAAGTAGTATGCTTGTGAAAGATTCAAATTTGGCCACTGAAATTGCATTTGGATACCATGATATTAGGATACCCTGTTTCCCATATCTTACTGAATGAAATGCAAGCTCTTGTGTAACACTAAATGAATCATGTACCTTTTATTAGCCTAAGTGCATCCCACCTCATTGGGCCATTTCATAATGAACGCTAATAATACATCTTTGGGCTTTCTAGGTTGAATGTCATCCATAACAATTTTTTTCCATGTTAGATTCAAAGGTACAGTTTTGGAAATATATATTCATAAGTTGAATTGGAGAGTTATGTCCTAGATGATTTTTGTGGCTCTAATGAAAATACCATACCATTGCAATTTCAGACTCTCACCTGCCTACAACCTGCCTCCCCATTCATGAATATACACTGTATGATTATATTTCTACGTGCCTTTTGTGCTGAAACGTGACCCATGTATTGTACCTTTACGTTAAATGAAAATTTAAATGTCGTAGGCATATGAAAAGTATTAGGAACTAAAAAAATTTCAGAAGTAAGGATAAAGATAACACAATCTAGATTTTGTGGTGGGGTGCTCAGGGAAATAGTTTGAAAAGATAATTCTTTATGAGTTTACTCTCAAGAATGAACATACACAATGGGAATCTTTTTTGATAAATAGAAATCTCACATATTTACCCTCTAAAATCTATTTTGCTAGTTTGCATTGGTGCTTACTCCACGGAAACAGGATGTCAGATGTCAAGAATGATGACTACAGGGGCGCCTGGGTGGCTCAGTCGGTTAAGCGTCTGACTTTGGCTCAGGTCATGATCTCAACAGTTCGTGGGTCAGGCATTTAGCACTGTGCTGACAGCCACCTGAGAGCCTGGAACTTGTTTCAGGTTCTGTGTCTCCCTCTCTGTCTGACCCTGCCCTTCTCATGCTGTCTGTCTCTCTCTCAGAAATAAGTAAAACATTTTTTAAAAATTAAAAAAAAAAAGAATGATGACTTCACTGAAGTGTAAGGAGAATGTTTATTACATAATAATGCTTTCTGAGGAGAGCAGGGGAGACTTCTCAAGTTCTGAGAATGGCTAGAGAAAGCATGGAGTAGTGACTACTTTGTAATGATTCATACTGTGTGGGGCCTGGGTGATGGTACTCATTCACAACGTGAACTTAGAACTACTGCCGAGGGAAGGGCCTTTTGGGCTGCTCTCCATAATAGAACAAGTAGACAAAACCAGTACCTAAGTGACTAAAAGTAATACTCAGTTTTGCCAGAGCTTTTTTATGGTAACAAATATTCTTGAATTATCATGGGTTTATAAGAATAAACATTTCTTCCTTATAGACATCTATGATTATTCACCTCTTGCTTCGTTATGTCATTTGAGTCTGGGATTCAGGGTCGAACTTCAGTCTATGTGGGACATAACCGCTCTTGCACCAAAGAGAAGAGAGGGTTAGAAGGCGCAAACAAAGCTTTTAAAGCTTCCATTTACAATTTAAATATGCCATTCTACTCACATCACATTGGAGAAGCTGGGTATAAACTGGGAAGGAAGTGTAATCCCCTCAACTAGAAGGAAGGGTTGCCTAAGTCAAGTGGCCAAGCTTGATATCAAAGAGCAGAGACATATAATCTCACAAGAGGGTGATAATTAATTGGAAATGATACTACAGTGTATGATAGTTCAGCTTCTATCATAAATCATTTTTCCCTTCTTTGTTCACACAAAATACAGTTTTGTCCCAAAAGAAAAACAACTCTATCCAAACATGACTACAGTCACACATGAAGGTCTCAAAAAATTCTCATTAGATTTCTCTTGGTCGAGATCCTTACATGCGTCCTTATTCCTAACATATTATGGCAGAACAGAAAAAAACCTCAAACCTTCCCATTCAGAAACAAAAAGGAAAGGAAGGATCCAATATTCTTCCCCATTTCCCAGGGCCTTCTTCCACTTGTCCCCTTTAGATAAGACTGCCCACCCAGCTCCAAAAGCTTACCAAAACCCTGCTCTGTTTGGATTGAATTGACCAATGTGGCCTTAATCCAGAACCCCAAAGCATTCTTTTGAGAGATCCTAATAAAGGTATGTGCCCTTGGTCCTGCCCTAAGATTTCTGCCTGCACCCTGCCTTAATCCCCTCACATGACCTCTATAGCTCCCCCATGATCTGTGAGTAATAAACTTCTCTACTTCACTTTCCATTATAATCTGTTGAACCATGGCTCACCATCTGATATCTAAGGCTGTACTTAATACAACAAAGTCACAACAGCAACACTAGACAATTCTATCAAACCTACAGAGAATTAACAGGAATTCTACACAATGTCTTTCAAAAAATAGAGGAGAGAATACTTTTCCCAACTAAATGTATGAGGCTGGTATTAGCATAATACCAAAACTACACAAAAACATTAAGGGGGATGGAAGGGGGCAAGATAACTACCAACTAAATCCCAAATGAAGATGCAAAAATTATTAACAAAATATTAACTGTTGAAATCAGCAATACACAGAATTGTACACCGTGACTAAATGGGTTTATTTGAGGGACAGAAAGCAGTTTCAAATTCCAGCAATGTAAGCCATCATGTTAATAAGGAGGACAGGAAAAATCACAGGATCCTGTCAATTCATACAGAAATGCATTTGACAGAATTCAACATCTACTTATGCTCTAAACTTTCAGAAAACTAGGAGGAGAAGGAAATTTCTTCAGCTCAGTAAACACCTACAAAAATCTAACAAACATACTTATACTTTTCCCCAGAGACTGGGAACAAGACAAGGATGTCTCACCGCTGATATTTGACATAAGTTCTAGTCAGTGAAGTAAGGGAAGAGGTGTAGATAAAAGTGGTAAAGAGAGAAGATAAAAAGTGTAGCTACTTGCAGAAGACATCATGGTTGTGGCAGGCTGGATAACACCCGCATGCCAAAGGATGGTCATATCCTTGTGCCTATCACATGGGAGCGTTACCGTAAATATCATAAGGGAGTCTGCAGATATACTCTGGTGAAGATCATGAGGTGGGCGATTATCCTGGATGATCTGGTTAATGTGATATGGTCCCAAGGGTCTTTATAAGACTGCAGGTAGAGTTACTCAGGTGGAAGTTGATGAATTGGTGGCAGAGATAAACAAGTTTGAAGATGCTATGTTGCTGGCTTTGAAGAGGTAGGAAAGGGACCATGTGGCAGAGATTATTAAGTGGCCTCCAGACATGGGAGAGTGTCTTCTTTGGAAAACTATCTATACATGTCTTCTGCCCATTTTTTCACTGGATTATTTGTTTTTTGGGTGTTGAGTTTGGTAAGATCTTTATAGATTTTTTATACTAACCCATTATTCGATATGACATTTGCAGATAGCTTCTCCCATTCTGTTGGGTGCCTTTTAGTTTTGTGGATAGTTTCCTTTGCTTTGCAGAAGCTTTTTATCTTGTTGAGGTCCCAGTGATTCATCTATGTTATTATTTCCAAGTCTTTGGAGACATGTCAAGTAAGAAGTTGCTGCAGCTGAGATCACAGAGGTTGCTGCCTCTTTTCTCCTGTAGGATGTTAATGGTTTCCAGTCTCACATTTAGGTTTTTCATCCACTTTGAATTTATTTTTTGTGTATGGTGTAAGAAAGTGGACCAGATTCATTCTTCTGCATGTTTCTGTCCAATTCTCCCAGCACCATTTGCTACAGAGACAGTCTTTTTTCCATTGGATACTCTTTCCTGCTTTGTCAAAGATTAGTTGGTTTGTTCTCAGCATTCAAGAGTCTCATATATTTTGCCTCCCTCTCTCTCCCCAACTATTTTTCCCCTTCTTCTCCCCCATGGTCCTCCATTAAGTTCCTCCTAATCCTCCTATACGTGCAAACATATGGTAGCTGTCCTTCTCTGCCTGACTTATTTCACTCAGCATAACACCCTCAAGGTCCATCCATGTTGCTACACATG